CTGAATAACACTCTTTTTTTTTACTCAAGGAAAGGAAAAATAACTAACTCAAAAATTCAGATTTCAAAAGTCGTCCTCAACTCTGGTCTCGTCCTCCTTTTATCTTCAGCACCCTTTGGAAAGTCTTTTCACCCAAGACACATGCGGATAAGGAAAGTAAATATCTTGAACTTCTTCATCTTTGATTATGGAAGGTGAATCTCGCGATCCTACTTCTCTTTAGATTTATGGAAAGCGTCTCCCCCTCAATCCCAAAGTCCTGCTAAAATAAAACATAAATAATCAGTCCTTTGGACTTAATTAAAATTAAGACTAATTCATACCAAAAATAAACTTCTCTTAAATACTTCCGTAAATTTTTGGACTCTGCGAACATCAGAAGGTTCATCGATTTACTGTCAATCTTCAGCACTTTCAATCTCCCCCTTTGGCAGATAAATCAAAAACCATGAACCAGCAAAGACGAAACAAATACAAATTCTGCAGAATACACAACTTCCTAAGAATACTAATATCACACATGTGCTGTTCTTAGAAACAACTTCAAATACCTGAATAGCAGCACATTAGTTCACATAATATCACACAAACGTTCATCAATCGCAAGATAAGAAGACATAAAGGAAGAAGTTCAAACAAAAACACGCAAAACAGAGTTTTTAACAAAACGCAAATGAAATTCCTGCTGGGAGATAGCTATGCAGATTCTTCCTCGTCAGATTCTTCCCCAGAACCTTCTTCAGCACCATCCTCAGTCCCTTCCTCTGAGCTTGCTTCCTCTTCCTCATCCCCGGTATCAGACCCAGCTTCTTCATCCTCTCCTTCTTCTGAACCTTCATCTTCTTCCACAACCTTCTCCTTTCCCTTGTCCTTAGCGACAACAAACTTCTCTTTCCCTTTTTCCTTAGCAGCAGCAGCAACCTCCTTTGTCTTCTTCTCCCCCTTAGAAAGAGCTTTCTTCTCCCCCTTAGCAGGAGCCTTCTTCTTTGCAGCAACAACACCCTTCTTTTTCTCCCCCTTCTGCGATTTAGAAACTAACGGGACACGAGATCTTAAAGCACCCAGAACCTCTTTGTAGTACCTTCGCTAATCAGCCAATTTCTTTTCAAGCCCCACGAAAACTGCCACTTGATGGTTTAAAAATCTGCAGAGCTGTGATGGTACATCAGAGGCCTTAACAAGAGAAGGACGAGGCGGAACAACCTTAACACCGGCAAGGGCAAGATGTTTGTTAACAAGAGTATAATTATCACCAAGTCGAGGATCCATTTTCACTCCAGCCTTGAAGAGAATAGCACATATGGTAGATGGGTACAACATCAACTTATGAGGCTCGGAGATTTTCGCAAAGCTCACAACAGCATCAAAGAGCACAGAACCAACATCAAATGGGGTACCATTCAGAATACGATAGATAACACGAGTTTGCGTAGGGGTGACAAACTTCTTGTGAGTGGTAGGAGTCCAATTCGACGCTCCTATCTTCTGTAGAGCATTGGCAGGCGGAGTCAGACTTTTCACAAAGATTCCCGGAGCAAGCCATTTGGTAAGTTGTCCACTGGTCAAGGTGCGGGCAACTTCATCAAGATCGTCAGTTAGAGGACGGAGAGAGGAACCTTCAGCTAAACCAAGAACAGAGTCCACAACAGACGGAGAGAAATCAACCACACTATTACGCACAAACACTTTCTGAAACTTCTGTGAAGATAGATCAACGACAGAGGTAGTCAGGTTTGAATAAAATTCACCAACAAGCCGGGGACAATACTTCCCAACAGACGTGACTGAGACCTCAAGACCCACTTTCTTCAGAAGTTCAAGCAACCCAAGTTGTTCATAATGTTCGGTATCAATCGTCTGCTCAGGACGAAACTTTATTTGAGAAAAGATGGTAGAATAACGTGTTTCAGCCAAAGGAGAATAAAACTGACGAGAGAAAGCATTACCAACAGTAAGAGGACTGTCTGGACCATCACCCTCGACTTCAGCAACGATTTTTCCTTTCTCAAGAGGAGAAAGTTCCTTGTCCACAGCATGTTTGTTGTCTGATTTCTCAGGTTCAGCAACATAGTTGGTAACCTCACGTTAAACAAAATCAACATCAAAATCCGGAGACGAATCTCCTCCAGATTTCGTGTGAGAAGGAGTATTATTAATAGGTTCAGCCACATGAACGACCTTTTCGCCTTTTTGGTCTTTGGTGCAGCAGTTTCGGCGACCTTCTTGCGCTTCTTTAGAGATTTGACGACAGAGGGAGAACCTTTTCCTCCTTTGTCACTTGGTTCGGCAACTTCATGTTAAGAAACTTTTGTCGTTGAGGACTTTTTAGGGCTTGGAGAAACCTTAGTTGTGGATTTAACAGGAGGTTGAATGTCCTCGGTTGCCATGGTTGAAGGATTTGGATCTGGTGGAGTATCGGAACTTTGGCTTTGACGAGTTGAGCACCGAGATGGCGGAGGAACATTCTTCTTCGGCTTCACGGTGCCCTGCTTGGATTTAGGGATTGTCAAGAAAAAGAGATTTTCGTGAAGAAGGAATGTTAGAGCAGTTGGAAGAGATAACAAAAATAAAAGATTGAAATAGATATGAGAGAGATGCAAAAGGTGGTATGATTGATATAGGGAACCGAAATTTCAGTTATCGAGGTGGGTTTGAAGACAGTTCGGCTCGACAAATTTGAAATTCAAAATTTGACCAACACTTAGTGCAAACAAAAAACTATTCCCTCCAAAACTAAAAGGATTTGTTACCAAGTTTAGCAGCATAGTTACCATATATATACCGCATGAAGTTTCACACGAGAATATTATCAGATCACGTAACAAAAATAATTTAGGCACAAATACGAAACAATATATGTCACAAAGAAAATCATGATGCACATGCCTAAATAAGATATTTAACACGCAATACCCTAGAATTTTCTTTTCATGAATATTGAAAAGATCCATTAATTGATTGACCCACAAATCTTCCCAAATCAATTTGAGACGAGCTCGACACTAACAAGATGATGAGAAAAAATAAATTCTCTTCGTGCACAACTCAGCCCTTATTGCTCCCACTTTTATACAACACGGAATTAATATAAGTTCGTTCATCACTTTCTCTTAGCAAAAAACAAAATTTTCGTCCGCAATTCAGCCCCAATACTTATGATGAACTTACTCCGTTCTATGAACTTCCACACCAATTCACTTGCTAACATCAACTATACGCCAATGTCAAGCCCATTACTCGAGGTGTGAATCATCCCGCAAAAAGTTTTAATTTTGAACAAGCTGAGAAGATATCAGGATGGCCAACCTTATTTCACCCAAGAACATTCATTCTTAGAATGTTTACCTATAGCTATCACACCTCGATTACTATTAGACACGTAACTCGTTTCACGGGTGATCAAGGAAGCACCTCATGTGATAGTTGCCTGATGCCTATTTTCACGAGAGCAGCTCTTACAAGTATATTAAAATGGTCATCATGATGAGCTCTTACAAACTGACCAGTTAGAATTCACAGACCACCAATCAACAAACTTAATAATAAACAATCAGAGAAGAATTCCAGGGATGAACCTACATACTAAGATGCCTAAAAAATAGAAAAGATCTTATATGCAATAGACACGATATATATATACATATATATAGAAATGCAATTGACACAATGCACATAAATTATATAGCACACATTTCTAAAGATTTTCTCAGGGACAAGAATCGTTTCGAATCAAGAGCTTTAGTGAAAATATCAGCAAGCTGATCATCTGTAGGTACATGATCCAACACAATAATTACATCTTCTACCAAATTACGAACAAAATGATACCGAATGTCAATATGCTTGGTACGAGAATGTTGGACAGGATTTTTTGAAATATTTATTGCACTAGTGTTGTCACAGAAAAGTTGAGCCGAATGAACGTTCATATCATACTCAGATAAAATCTGTTTCATCCATACCAACTGTGAGCAGCAGCTTCCAACGATAATGTACTCGGCTTCAGCAATAGAAAGGGAGATGCAGTTTTGTTTCTTGCAGAACCAAGATACCAAGTTTGATCCTATGTAAAAACACCCACCAGTGGTGCTTTTTCGATCATCAAGATTTTCAGCCCAGGCAGCGTAACAATAACCTGCAAGATGTAAGTTCGTATCAGCAGAGTAGAATAGACCATACTCTGTTGTACCTCCAATGTACTTTATGATATGTTTGAATGCTTTCATATGTGATTCCTTGGGGGCAGCCTGATACCTGGCACACAATCCAAAACTAAATCAAATGTCAGGTCTACTAGCAGTGAGATATAAAAGACTACCAATCATACTTCTGGGTAGAGTTGATCAACAGATGTATCTTCATCATCTACTTGGACACTTTTACATGATGACCCATGGGAGTTTGAGGACATTTAGAATTTTCAAGACCAAACTTTTTAACAAGGTTTTTTGCATACTTACCCTGATGTAAGAAAATACCATCTTTACCTTGCTTTACCTGAAGTCCAAGAAAGTACGAAAGTTCACCGACGAGATTCATCTCAAATTCCGACGACATAAGTTTCACAAAGTGATTGACCAGCTTCTTGGATGTTGATCCAAAGATTATGTCGTCGACATAGATTAGAACAGCCAATAGGTCCTCATTCGTTCGAAGAGCAAAGAATTTCTGATCTACTCCTCCTCTCTTGAATCCCTTTTCCAGAAGGTACATGGTAAGGCGTTCATACCACGCACGAGGCGCTTGCTTTAATCCGTACAATCCTTTCTTAAGCTTGTAGACATGATTCGGATTCTTGGGATCTTTGAACCCTTCTGGCTGCTTCACGTAAGCCTCTTCATGTAATATCCCATTCAGAAAGGTAGACTTCACGTCAATCTGATAAACAATGAACTTCATTCGACATGCAATAGATAGAAATATGCGTACCGATTCAAGTCTAGCAACGGGGGCGAAGGTTTCATCAAAATCAATCCCTTGAGTCTGAGTGTAGCCTTGAGAAACTAGTCTCGCCTTGTTCCGTGTCACATTCCCGAACTCATCAGTTTTGTTCTTGAAGATCCACTTGGTTCCGATAACATTTCCCGAGGAAGGTTCAGGGACTAACTCCCAGAGATCGTTTCTAGTGAATTGCTCCAGTTCCTCCTGCATGGCTAAGATCCAACACTCGTCTTTCAGAGCCTTTTTAGCATTCTTGGGTTCAAGGAGTGAGGTGTAGCAGGCATAATGAGAAACACCCATAAGTTCTTTGACTGACGTCTTCGAGTTTCTGGTTACTCTCTCGTTTATGTCACCAATGACTTGCTCAGGTGGGTGGTCTTTCTGAACCCTTAATGGAGGTTCACGCCTAAATGACACAGAACCTTCTTGAGTCGCAGGGACAGTGTAGTCAGTTGATGTTTCAGCATCCCCAATAGAAGGTTCAGCTATCTCCTTGTCTGCAGAGCTCTTAACACCCTGAGTATCCTGCAATGCCTCAACATCTTCAAACTGATTAAAGGATACAGAAGAACTAACTTGAGAATTTTTTTCATCAAAGATTACATTTATTGACTCAATCACAGTGGAGGTATTTGTGTTTTAAACACGATACGCTCGACTATTGTTAGAGTAACCAAGAAAGAATCCAATATCCAATTTTGCATCGAACTTCCCAAGTTGGACACGGTCATTATAGATAAAACGTTTACACCCAAAACTATGCAAGTGGATGAGGTTAGGGCTCTTACCTTTCCATAGTTCATATGAAGTCAGACCAATACCTCGACGAAGGTACACACGATTCATGAGGTAGAATGTTGTATTGATTGCCTCAGCCCACCATCTGGAGGAAATGTTTTTGGAGTTCAACATGACTCTGGCCATTTCTTGTAGAGTGCGATTCTTCCTTTCAACAAATCCATTTCTCTGAGGAGTTTTAGGAGCTGAAAACTCGTGACTAATCCCCAGAGAATCACAAAATTCAGCAAACTCAGAATTTTCAAACTCTCTTCCATGATCGCTTCGAATACTTATTATGGGAAAACCTTTCTTAGTTTGAACCTTCAAACAGAGTGACTTAAAGACAGAGAATGTGTTAGACTTTTCACGCAAAAAATCAACCCAAGTATATCGAGAGAAATCATCAACGCACACAAAAATATACTTTTTACCTTGATAGCTTTCTACCTGAATGGGACCCATGAGATCCATGTGAAGAAGCTCTAGGATCTATTTAGAAGCAATATGGTTCAGTGACTTGTGGGATGTCCTCGTTTGCTTACCTAGTTGACAAGGTTCACAAATTGGCTGGTCCTTCACAGCATTCTTTGGAACACCCCTGACTACACCTGCATTGGTCAATTTGACAAGGTGAGAGTATCTAATATGCCCTAAGCGTTGATGCCATAATTCAGGTTCGCCCACATTTGAGAAAAGGCATTTTTCATTAAAATCAACAAGATAACAATTATCCGTTGAACGAGAACCTGTAAGTACACAAGAACCTTCACTGTCTTTCACATAACACTTATCACATGAGAAACTGACACTAAGGCCTTGATCACATAGTTGACTCACACTCAAAAGATTTGCCTTTAGTTCATCAACAAGTAACACATCAGTTAGTTTAGGTATTCCACCCAAATTTAAACAGCCAGTTCCAATAACCTTATTGCTCACTTTGTCACCGAATGTGACTTCCCCATTCGAATTAGGTTGGATGTTCATCAAGTAAGAAGGTTCACCAGTCATTGTGGCTAGAGCAGCCGCTGTCCAGATACCATTTACCTTTCAGAGAGGTCCTGAGAGACAGAACAGAGGCAAAACAGTTGAAGGATTTCTTAGCAACCCACACTTGATGAGTTTTGGTACGGTTACTTGAGAGGGTCCTGGAATGGACCTTTACTGGAATGCCAAACTGATTCCAACACCTAACATTACCTGTACAAAGATCATGCTGCATTTTATAGCATTTGGGTCTTATGTGACCAGTTACACCACAGTAATGACAGATAGGGACAAAGTTATGGTGAGTTTTATTAATAGATTTCTGCATGGGAGAATGAACCTTCAAGGGAGATTGTGGAGATAGAGGTTTAATTACAGTGCTTTTTACAAACCTGTCAAACACGTTTCTGTAAGGTCTTCCATGGAGGTTCACACTTCCAACTCCAACTTTGTCCCCAAATCCAAGACCGGTATGTTTTGTATTTGAAGTTCCAGTTGAGGACTCAAGAATGTCTTCCCTACCAGTGCACCCTATTCCAGTAAGATCACCATGTTGTCTTTCCAAGGAAATAAGTTCATTCAGATCCGCCTTTCCCTTGTTCAATTTTTTAACAACTTCTATAGTTCGGTTCAACTCAGCAGAATTTGCCTTCAGCTTGCTTTCCATGATAGCATGTTTGTTGATCAGCCGACCAGCTTCATCTTTGAGTAGCACGATTTCCTGGTTCCACTCGACAAGAAGTTTCTGAGTAGAGAATAGTTCGGCCCTCAAGCATTCAATGGATTGAGCCTTTTCCAGTCCGTCTTGTTTAGCAAGTTTGACACTTCTCTCAATGATGCAGGTTCGTGCCTTTGCAGTATCTAGTTCACACTCTTTAGTAGCAGTGGAGGCAGATGTTTGTTCGTTCAGCACCCTGTTTGCTCTTGAAAGTCTAAACACTTCATTTTGAAGCTTCTGTAGAGCCTCAGATGCTTGAGCACACTTTTCCATAGCAAGTAAGTGAACTGGATCTACACACACATTTTGATCTGCTTCATCCTCAAATGCTTCAGTTTCTTTCAAACTCTCTTCAAACATGGTCGGAGCATGAGAAGTGGTGAGACACATGAACTTCTTGACTGAGGTATGAGTTGTCAGGTTGCTTGTGTGTAAAGAAGGTTCGTCTGAGCCTTCTTCATCTGAGTCTTCCCAGGTGGCCTTTAGTTACTTATTCTTTTTCTTAAGATTAGCACACTCATACTGGAAGTGTCCAAAGCCTCGACACTCCCTGCATTGATCCTTCTCGACTCGTTGTGAATCGGATTTTGAGAGTGGCATACTACTTTTCTTCTCTTGCACCACATTCTTGCTGAAACTGTTCCCCTTTTTTCCAGCAAATTTGTTCTTGTATAGCCTTTGACTCATCTTCCCATAGTTTCGCGCGATTAAAGCTAGTGCTTATTTCATCTCACTATCATCTGTCAACGGACCTTCATCGTCATCACTTTCTTCTCTTTCTTCGACTACAGCAGCTTTGAGAGCTAAGCCCTTACTTTTGACTTTGTCATAATTGTTGTTGATTTCAAAAGTTCTGAGCTCTCTATCATCAACATCCAACGACGCCACTCTTTGGAAACTTTCAAGAGCTGTGATTTTCTCTTTAAACCTGGGAACGACGGTTCTCATAATCTTTTGTACTTAATGTTTTTCAGAGATTTCTTCCCCAAGCATCATGCTTTGATTTACCAGATCACATAATCTGGCATAGTATACGTCAATTGTCTCTTCATCCCTCATTTTGATCTCATCAAATTCAAGAGTTACCCATTGAAGTCTGGATGCTTTGACAGCCGTTGAACCTTCAAATTGACGTTGTAAGACCCTCCAAGCATCTTTTGCAGTTTTGCAATGAACTATCATCTTGTGTCTTGTCTGATCAACTGCCATCATAATCGCATACAAGGCACGATAATTGGCTTCTTCTTGAAGCTTCTCAGCATCGGTCCAGTTGTCCTTAGGTTTAGAAACCGTGACTTTTGTTGTTTCTTTACCTTTATCGGGTGCTTGTTGCATGACTGGATGCTCCCAGCTGTTTTCAACCCTTTCCCACACGCCTTTTCCAAGCGATCTCAGAAAGATTGTCATCATAGACTTCCAATATGAGTAGTTCGAACCGTCTAATTGCGGGGGCCTGGACATCAATCCGCTTTCTTGATTCAGGATTTGAGGGTAACACACGTCCTAGGATCTTTCGTAATGAAGAAGAAAACCCGCTCTGGTGCCAATTGAAATTTTATACCTGAACATCAAATATCCAGAGTTGCACGTAAATCGAATAGACGGACAGTAATGAAAATTCAAACAATTGTGGAAGCAGTTTTTGTAATAACCCAACTTCTTGTTAATATAAATGATGTATTATCTTTTATTAATTCCGTTCATTTTCAGTGAATAAGTTCGACGTTGAGTCGAAAAGTTATCCAGTTAATTATTAACCGAGTCAAATTCGATAATTAATTTCCGAACCGTTTATTTTATAAACGGATATCATTAGTCGGGATTAATTATTAATAATTAAGAATGTTCGGAATTAAGTTCGAAGCTATAGTTCAGTGAAGTCAAGAACGCACACAAGGTGCACTAAGCATGCACGCGTACCGCATACCGTGCGTACGCCTACGCCCGCAAATGCGCATCGCGCGCATCGCCGCGCATCGCGCACTAGCGCGCGCCATCAAGCCCCTTAAACACACACGCTTATATCACTAAGTACCATGATCAATTAAAGCAAGTTCCAAATCTTCTTCTTTAAAGTTGTCGTCTAAGATAAGTTTGGGGTGTGCAAGTGGGGTGGTGAGTCACCTCCTTGCTTGCACACACGGCACGCCACGAACGCACGGGCGATGACTAAGCCCGTGCATGCCCGACACCTCG